GGGGGCAGGGGCCCGCTGTGGTACAGGCTCTTCTCACGGCCCCCTACACGCGCGTCGGGAGGGGAGGGTCCATCAAAGGATGCGGGGGAAGAGGAGGGGAGCGGGCCACCCGAACTGGGGTTGAAGTGCCCTCCTCTGGGGGATGGGGTGAGGCGGCCAGAGGAGGAGGGGGCTGGAGGTGTGCTGTAGGGGGGCTCCGGTGGGGACGTGGTGGGCGGCGGGGGGATGTCCTCCGAGCCAGGCACAGACAGGCTGCGGCTGAACTTCATGGCTGGGGGTGCTAGGTAGGGTCTATCATCTTCTGCAGCCCCTGGGGAAGATACAGTGGATCCAGGAGTGGGGGGAGGGGGTCTCCCTCCTCCCCTATCCCATAGTACTACAATATTAATGAGATGATGATGATGATTAATAATAATAATAATAATACGACGCCACTGAGTATATGCTAAGACCCTCACACGAATGAGTCCAGAGTTGGCTTGACGACCAGGCTGTGCATTGCACATCAGCAACCGGCAGAGGGAGCAAGGGGAGGTGGGGCGACATTCAGCTGAACTTCCTCCCCACGCCAGGAGGGGGCGGCATTTTCTAATTCCCACAAAGACACGGCCTACGCTAGCGGTGGCTTGGGGTGAGCAAAAGTGGCTGGAGCCCAGGAAAGATGCCATGTTTAGGTGCACAGTTATAGATTTCTTTTTCATGTATACGCGGAAATAAAATGTAATTAGCACATCAAACCTGTGCTTTCACAGACGGAACTGCTTAGGATGAGGCTAACGTTTACTAGAGAGAGCCGATTTATAGGTGAGCAATGCTGGGTGGCTTTACAGGTGGTTGAGAGGAGGTAAATGAGGAGATACAGGTAGACCTCACAGATGCAAGACTCACACTGATGGACTGTGGACGCTGGAAGTGGGAGAAAAGCTAGACCCAATCAGCAAAAGGACTCCAAGTGGATTGGGAAGAGCAAAGTCTTTTGCCTATTAATCACTGCAGGGCTCAGTCTTTGACCCTCTTCTCCCCTCTGACTACTCTCTCTCCTTTGGCGATCTCAAGCTGTATGTTGCTTCATTCACTATGTCTCTGCTGAAGACGCCCACATCTGTCCTGGGGCTCAGTCCTCTCCCCTGAGCTCCAGGCTCCTATATCCAAATGCCATATCCACTTAATTGGATGTCTCACTGGCATCTGAAACTTAGCAGGCCCCCAGCTGTGCTCCTGATCTCCTCCCACCCCACAGTCTTCCTGATCTGAGCAAACGGTGGCTCAATCCTACCTCAGGACCTTTGTCTCGGCTGTTCTCACTACCTGGAATACCTTATCACCGCATATCCACATGGCTCTCCCCCTTCATTTCCATGTTTTGGCTCATATCTGCTTCCCAGCGCTCCTGATCTCTCTTATTCTAGTCTGCTCCCCACCCGCCCCCGCCACACAGAACTTACCACTGTCAACATACTATATAATTGTCTTGTTTCTTATCCTTATAATCTGTTGTCTGTCTTCCCCTGCTAGAAGGCAAGCTCCATGAGGGCAGGACCCTTTCCTCTGTTTTGTTCACTGACATATCCCCAGCAGTCTAGGACTTATGCGGAGTGCTTAGTAAACATTTCTAGAATGTATGCATGCATGAATGAAGTCAGGTATAACAGAGAAGAAACTAGGTGGTGGGGGCTTCGACTCACTGCATCCAGGCAGGAACAATAACATGCCCATTTCCTAGATGCAGAACCCAAGGCCCAGAGAGGTGAAGCTACTTGCCCCAGGTCACACAGCCAGGAGGGACAAGAGCCAGAATTCAAACCCAGGTTTGCCCAAAAACAAAGCCTGAGCTCTTTGCCCAGCTTGATGGAACTGTGGTCATATACGGAAGTAGAAAAGGACATTTCAAAGCCCCTTCATTCCTCCCGTAACCTGTCACTCTCCCAGCCTCCCCCTCCCCTGCTGGCATCCATTATACCCACCCGTCCAGGTGACATACCAATAGATTTTTGCCGGAGCATAAGCCCAGGTCCTGGAGGCAGGTAAGAAGGACGTTCATAACTTGGCTGCGAGCGGTGGTGCGGATCGAAGCTTGACTTTGGGGTAGCAGTCAGAGAAAAAAGACAACAGAGAAAGATCAGTCTGGGTGTGAAGATTCATGGCTTCACCATACAGCCAGCCCCCAAGCCTTCTCCAAGCCTCTGCAGGAAGGGTGAGAGGAATGGAGGAGGCAAAAGGGAATTCTGGGGGAGAGAAAGGTGTCTGAGTTTGGGCAGTGGGGAGAAAGAAAGGAAAAGAAAGCAGTTTCTCAGGCAGCCCTGTTAGCTCTGCTTCCCATACCGATCACTATTCTGGGTCTTTTCTCCATTCTTGCTGTCAACCCCCCCACCCAGGTCCAAGTCACCAGCATTGCTTGGCTCGCTGGCTGCCCCAGCCTTTTCCCCTGTCTCCCTGCTGCCACCCTGTCCCCACCCTCCACCGCTTTCTGGTCTGCTTGCCACGTAAGAGTCAGACGGATCTTTCAAAAAGAAGTACAGGTCATGCGATTGCCCTGCTTAAAATCCTGCAGGAGCATCCCACATCACCAGTCAGGAGGGGATCGGAATTCCCAACTCTGGTCTTGAGTTGTGGTCTGTGGTAGACACTGCTGGTGCACACCACATCCCTTTGACTGGGACGCAGTGACCATCCCCAGCTGCTGAGAGTGTCAGCTGCCTGGGCTCTCTGCTGCTCCTGGCTCTAAAGAATCCCCCTCCTCCAAAGGAGCTGATGGGCCCAAGTGGTTACGTCCCCCTACTCCTGGGAGCAGCCTGCAGCCAAGGATAGACTGACACAGAGATCCAAGGCAGGATTAACTCCGTGGTGCAATTCAAACTCTCCCAGGGATCAGGCTGAAAGGGAACTCCAGCAGGGACCACGTTTGCTGACCTCCCGCAGCTCACCTTGCCTCCCTCACTCCCTTATAATTCTCCCCTTAGGATACTGTTGGCGCAGGAATCCCCATCTCATGCTCCCACTACAGGAAACCCAGGTGCCCAGTACAATCTAGCCCTGCCTACATCTCCTACCTGCTCACTCTGGTCCACCGTGTCCACCAGTCCTGCTCCTCCAATGCCCCGAGGTCCATCCCTGCTTTAGAACACTTGCAAGTCCTGCATTTGCTCTCTGCAACATTTTCTCCTCATCGTCACACATTCCTTTCCGTCTTTACGTCCTCCACTCAAATGTCCCTCCCAGTCACTGTCTACCGCACTTTCCTGTCCTGTTTTCCTTAGGGCACTCATTTCCATCTGAGACGACTTGTTTACTTGCTTCCTTCCTGACTCCCTGCCTAGAATGTCAGCTCCTTGAAGGCACCAGAGGTACAGGATCTCCGGCCCAGGACACCTGCAGGGAAGATATTTTCATTTCCTTTAAAATCAGAGGGGGAGAAATGAACAGAATCCAGCCTGGATGATAATATTCATCTTTGCACCAACACAGAGGGGCTTATGAAGGTAAAAGTGGCAAAGGCCCAGGGCGCCTGGGTGGCTCAGTTGGTTGAGCGACTGCCTTCGGCTTGGGTCATGTTCCTGGAGTCCCGGGATCGAGTCCCACATCGGGCTTCCTGCTCGGCAGGGAGTCTGCTTCTCCTCTGACCCTCCCCCCTCTCATATGCTCTCTCTCTCTCATTCTCTCTCTTTCAAATAAATAAAATCTTAAAAAAAAAAAAAAAGTGCCAAAGGCCCGTGGAATCCTAACACCCTGCCTGATGGTAGCAACGTTGTTGGTCTCTTTCACTGCTGGGTCCCCAGTCCCCAACCAGGACCTGATGTTCTATAAGCTTGTGTCAAATGAACAGTGACTAAAGGAGAATGAGCCAACATCAGGCACTGACTCCCTTGCTTCTGCCAGGTGACCTCGGATGTTGCTCTTCTCTGTCTTTGAGGCCAGAAGTGCAGAGAAAGGAAACCCTTTTTGGATGAAGTCCCCACCTTACTGCCCTCACCTCCCATCATGCACCCTCCAGCCCCCTTGCTCTAAGTACTCCCTGCCTCTCTCAATTTCCTGTGCTGTTTCTCACCTCAGGGCCTCTGCATACGCTGTTCCCTCTGCCTGGAACATCCTTCCCCTGCTCTGCTTGGGAAGACTTGTCACCCTGGCCCCCACTCTGGCCTGGCGTCTCCCTTCCTCTCTAAACCTACACTGCCCAATACAATAGCCACCACCCTTTCAGATGTAAATTTTAACAAATTAAAATAAATTAAAATTTAAAACTCCCTTCCTCTGTTTTTGCTGGCCACATTTCAAGGGTTCAGTCACCACACACGGCTGGTGGCTGCCGTATGGGACAGCACGGATGTAGAACAGTTCCTTCAACCCAGGAACTCTACTGGACAAGACAGTGCTGCTCTGGCCCCTCACAGGATGCTCCTGTCCTAACCTCTCCCTGCACACACCTCACTGGACTGAGACTAACCATCTCTGTGTTTGTCTCATTCATTCATTCATTCCACAGATATTTACTGAGCACCTGATTCATGCCAGGGACTGTTCTAGATGCTGCAGATGCAGCCATCGACAAAATAAGACAAAAGTCTATTTTGGAGGGCAGACAAAATAAATTAGTAACATAACGGGGTCGGGTGGAGGGAAGAGGGGGAGGAGAGGAGGACTATAATTTAAAATAGGGCTGTCAAGGAAGGCCCTTCTGTGAAGATATCATTTGAGCAATCTCCGGAAGAAGGGAGCCATGCATATATCCAGGGGAAGAGTATCCCAGGCAGAGGGAACAGCAATTGTAAACGTCCTGAGGTGGGAGTGAGTCTGGTGTGCTCAAGGAACAGTCAGGAGGCCGATGTGTCTCGAGTGGGTGAGCAGGGCGCTGAGGGGTGGGAGATGAGGTCAGACAGGTGGTAGAAAAGTGATAATGGGTGAAGTCTGTTAGTTTCAGATGTCTCCTCCCTGGAGAGGCTTCTGTCTGTTACTCTACATCATAACTCCCTCTACTTAAACCAGTGTAGAGTTAGTATAATTATTTGCTTGCTTGTTCATTGTCTGTCTCCCTGGGCACAGAGCCTACCCAGTTCCCATTCTACTCTTCTTCCTTGGTAAGGAAACCGCAATCTCCTTTGGCACCTATTGGGACTACATTCCCCAGGCCCCCTTGCAGCTGAGTGTGGCCACGGAACTAAGGTCAGCTGGGATGCGTAAGTGCAAGTGTTGTGTGTTTCTTTGGGGAGGTCTCCTCAGAGGCAACCCAAGAAGCAACAATGTGCCCTCCTTTGCCTTCCTGCCTTTCCCTCTTCCTTGTTCCTGCTACCTGGAATGCTGGTGTAACAGCTAGAGCTCCAGCCATCTTGGACTATGAGGTGACTTTATGGTTGGAAAGAAGGCTAGGATGGTGGAGCAGAAAGTGAGAAGGATCCTGGGTCTTCATGACCATGGTGGCTGCCACACCTGCCTGGGACTCCCTCCTCCAGACTTCGTTAACATGACAGAGATGTTAGACTCTCCTGGTTCAAGCCACTGTTATTTGGAGGTTTCTCTTACATGCGGCAGAACCCAAGTCTGCAAAACCCAACCTCCGCCCCCAAATGTAAATTCTCTAATGGGAGTGGCCTTGATTGATTCCCTCCTCCACCCCCAGAGCCAAGCAGCAGGTCCAGCGCATAACAGGTGCTCAGTAAATATGTGCAGAATGAAGGACACCCTGACAAGATGGGGGAACACCCAGTCAGAAAGGATGCAGGGACCCCTGAGGGCAGAAGCAGGCTGGAGAGGACAATGAATACGGAGTCCAGGCTGGGGAAGGCGAGCAAGGGGATAATGGGGAGGTGGGAAGGAAGGTGAGGGAAGCATCTGGTAGACGCATGGGATTGGGGATGGATGGAGGTAGAGTGATGGGGGAGGGTTCCGAATGACGGGGTGGGGGTGCCTCTGACTGAAGAGAGTGCAGAGTGAGGGAAAGGCGTCAGATTGGGACATTGGCAGAAGACACTTCTAAGTGGAAGAGGAGAGATCCAATGATGGGTTAACTTGACATAAAAGGGGTCAGAGTGGCCGAGGAGATGTCAGACTGATGGAGAAGCCACAAAAGCGTCTGAGGAGGCGTCGGACTGCCTGCCTGAGCGGCACACTGACCCAGGTGGGACAGGCTGACCTCCATCCACGAACCGGGAGCGTCCTCTCCCGCGCAGAGGCGGGCAGCCAATCAGAGTGCCCGGGTGCGCGTGACGTCACCGGCTGCGGGCAGGAGTCAGCGGGAGGTCCAGCCCTCCTCCGGTGCCACCTCGTGGGCCGGTGGTGGGTCTGATGCCTCAAGGGCAGAGTGTGCGCCCTGGTGCTATGCGCAGGCTGGAGGCTGAAGATGGGCTGAGAAATGCACGCCAGGGCGACAGCCCTTGGAAAGGGGTGAGGGGGGAGAGAGCGGAGGGGGAGACAGACGGAGAGACAGAGATAGACAAAGACAGAGATGGGGGTTCAGAACCGGGCAGACAGGAGGGGAAATGAGAAAGCGATGGGAAGAAAGAGGGTCCCAACAAAGCAGGAAGAGAGGCAGTCCTGAGAGGCCTCGAATGGAGGGGGCCACAGCTGCTCCAGGAGGGTCAGGCATGCAAAGAGGAGGGAAAGAGACAGATAATGCAATCAAGAGGGTATGGTCAAAATAATCAGAGGGAAAATTTGAGTCCAGAGAAAGGTTGACACTGGCACCCAGATAAAGATGGGCGGAAGCGAGGACAGTGCAGGAGTTGGGGGGGGAGGTGGGGTACCCCTTGGGGTCAGTGACCAGGTAACAGACAGCAGCTGAGGGAGCCAAAGCCACACAGAGGGGAGGACTGATGGATGGACAGCAGAGCCCTAGGAGGAGACAGCCCAAGAGGCACCTTGACCTGCAGTGGATCTGCCTGGGGTCTGCCACTCCCACTGTTGGCATGGGCAGGTCCCTCAGTACCATGTCCCCACGTTAGGTTTTGTGCAGTGGGGTGTCTTTCAGGGAGGTTGAAATCTCCCAATTCTTACGTTTCCAAACAGTGGCACCTTGTACAATAGGTTACTCTGATTCACTGTTGCTCAGGCCTGATAAAAGAGGCCTCGGGGCAATACTGGGCCCCCACACTGCCAGCTTACCTTCTCTGGTCTAGTGCACAGAGCTCCAAGTGAGAGAGTGAGGAGGGGAGAGAAGCTGAAGCAGATGGGAGACAAGAAACAGAAGAGAACAAGACCACAGAGAGAGTGAGCCATGGAGATGCAGAAGCAGCAGGATGGGGCCCGTGTTGACTTAGTGTGAGAAGTCAGGATGGCTGGTGGGAAGGTGGGGACAGAGATGAGGGTGAAGAAAGACCCCAACACGAGAGGCAGGGCTTTGGGAAGGCCCAGGGCCAGACCCTGGAAGGGAGAAGAAAAAGGGAAACCTAACAGGGAAAAACACCACTGGCCTCTAAGGCCCAGAAGGAAGGGAGATGCCATTCAAGAACTCAGGTGAATGCCTGCGAGTCTCGTTTCTAGGAGAGAGGGGCACGTGGGCAGCTGGTGTTATTACTGGCCCATGTCTGGGCCCATCTACGGGTGTCTTTGGAGCTCAGATGGTGAATTCCACGAAGGCTGGGATCTTGTCTGTTCTGCAACCATGGTTCACACAGGGAGGGGTTGGCATGCTGGCTGCCATTTGTTGAATAAATGAAAACAGGGTTTGCCCTATCTATTCTTGGAGACTCTGCATGTGATACGCTGTTACAGGGTCTCTGGGGCACATTCAAGGCTCACTGGCAAGTCATTGTGGGGTCTCCAGTTTGTTTTATGGCCTAAGAGGGCTCGCCATCTGTTGAGAGCCTGCTGTGCTAGGAGGTGATCTCATTCACTCCTCATCAGGACCAGCAAGATTGGCTTTAGCCCCATTGTACAGAGCAGGAAACTGAGGATGCAGAGAAATTAGGTAGTATGGTTCAAGTAACACAGGAAGTCAGAGGAAGTCAGAATTTGGAGGCAGGTCTGCCTGGCTTGACTGTCCATACACTTCCGAGTCTACACTGACCTTTGGGGGAGGTGGGCACAAAAGATGATCCTCACAGCCTCAGAGGTTTCAGATTCCTTGAGAAACTCAGGACAGGTGAGACGTGAGGGGCTACTGCGTGCAGGGCACTCTCCCAAGCCCTGAGAAGTGGCCAAGGACCCTCCACCTTTACATCTGAAAGCAATTCTTTGAGTCCAAGTACAAAATTTGCCACCTTCATTTGGTTCTTGTCAAAGTATGAGGCGTTCTAAAGTAGGCAGTCTAACCCTTCGCAGGTCTGTGGATAGACTTCAAGGGGGCCATGCACTTGGACTAGGAAAAAAAATTACATCTTTATTGTCATTATCTTCCAACGACAACACAACATTTCCTCGATTAAGGATGTAGGCAGCAAACCAAGCCGACCTTAGCAAGACTTGTGCCTGTATCCCCGAAAGAAATCACAGATATTTCCATATCCTTTAACAGCAGGTGCAGATCTCCTGAAATTGTGTTTATGCACCTCATGACTAGTTAGAGTAGTTAAGAGCCATCACGAGGTCTTGCTGGCTAACGTGTTGACAAAAAAGTATAGATGTTTCTATATCATAAATTTTGCTTTTACTTTGTGTGTGTGTGTATGTGTTTAACTGAGCTCTAGGCCCAACACAGGGCTCAAACTCATGCCCCCGAGATCAAGAGTCACATGCCCTACCGACTGAGCCAGCCAGGTGCCCCATGGATTTTGCTTTTAAAAAAATATTTTGATAATTGTATTATCGGTGTAATTGGTTTCTTTTGTTTTCTTAGGTAATTTATTTTATGTTTATAAGCATTATTAGGAGGACTATGCTAGCCTGCCAAGGGGGTCCATGGTCCCTCAAAAGCCAAAGAATCTAGTTTTAGAGTAAATAGCCTGTTGGCCACTGGGTGGTGGGTGTGGCCTGTGGGGAAAAGGGGTCAAAGGGCACGGTCAGAGGGCAAGGCCCGAGCAGAGAAGAAGCAAGTGCTAAGAGAGAAGTAGGGCGTGTATGATCTCTGGAGGTGACGCTGGAGGGGGGAGGAGGCTGGTGGTGACTGTGTTCCCATGAAAGGGCACAGCCCAATGGCAGGCCAGCTAGGGAGGGTCCAGCAGGCCCACCAGAAGAGCCAATGCCACGGATCCAGTTGCCTGACTTGCCTGGATTGAAATACTGCCTCCCTCTCTGAGCCTCAGTTTCCCCTCTGTAAATGGGCTAACAACTATGTGGACCTCACAGAATGATCCTAGGAACAAATGAGATAATCCATGTAAAATGTAGTGTCCCAAACAGGATCACCACCCATTACAGGTCAGCCTCTGTCCTAGGGAAAAGCAGGTAGAGTGGAGACAGTGGTAATAAATAATATTTTAATAACTCCCTCTTGTTGAGCACCTATTATCATGTGCTGGGCCGATGCCAGGGATCACCAGCTGTGACATCATGCCTTCCCTGAGACTCCTGAGGTGGGACGGAGATGGACAAGAGGTGGGAGCAGGGAGTGAGGAAACAAGAGACAAGACTTAGGAGGAGAGTAAGGAAGAGGATGCGCAGAGAGGAAAGGAGGCTGCCAGAGTGGGGAGAAAGGAGAGGGCCCAGGAAGTATGGTGCCCCTCTAGGACCGACATTCAACACAGAGGGGTGGGAAAGGTTTGCAAGGAGAAGGACGTTGTTCCAGGTTGGTGTGTGCACCCCCCAAGCCTCCTCTCCATTATGCTCCCATCCCCCAGTCCAGGCTGCCTACCTCAGTGGCAAAGAAGCCTTTGGGCCGGTGTTTGCCCAGCGATGCAAGGCCACCAGGTCCAGGACTCTCGCTTGCACTGATCGTCTGCTGAGCTGCCGCCAAAATTTCATCCAGTTTGTCTAAGGGGAGGAGGGAAGAGGCAGTGAAATGAAGCTTGCTTTGGCCTCGGGCAGAAACAGAGCTGCCAGGAGCCCATACAATATGTTGTGACGAACCAGGAAAAGGCACCCTTGCCTCCATCCCCGTGGACTGATGGCCCTGATGGAGACAGAATCTCCAGCCCAGAAGGCAGGACCCAGCGGTGGGAAGGGGTGAGGACAGCAAATTGTCATAGGAGGGAAGGTGGAGGGGAGACAGAAGGAACAGGGGAGAGGCTGAGGACAGAGGTGGGAGCTCATACTTGATGCGTGGGGCAAGGTTGGGGTATGAGGTGATCAGGTTGGAGGTGGCCAAAGGGTGCGCAGGCAGGAAGAGGGTTGGAGAGGCTGCGGCACCCCAGGGGGTGTGGGGTCAGGGGTCCTGGGCAGCCTGGGGAGCAGGGCTGGGCCATCTTACTGAGAGCCATCTGATACACGGTCCGCTTTTTCTCCATGCTGGGCACCGGCGCAGGCTGCTGCTCATACTCTGTGGGCAAAGGATGCAGATGAAGTCCAGGGGCGCCCCTGGGGGCGGGGCGGAGCGGGCTCGGCCAGTGGGCGTGGCCAGCGGGCGTGCGCAAGCGCGAGTGGGGCAGTGAAGGGCCCGGGTCGGGGAGGGGCAAGTCCGCCGGCGGGATGGGGACGGGGGGGCCCCCCCGCCAGTCCTGTGCCCACTCACCACTCTTCTTCTTCCAGGGGGAGACTAGCCCGGGGGAGAGGCAGTAGAGGAGCCAAGAGTTAGGACTTCAGGGGGAGGCGAGGGGCCCCCTCTCTGGAACACCCTCCTCCCTCAGGGTAGGGGAGGTCAGCTGCCCGATCTGCCCCCTGTCAGGGGAAACGGGACCCCCCAGGTCCACTCGGCCCTGTCTGGGGAGGGGCTGGCCTTCCTTTCTGTTAGTGGGTGTGGGGAAGCTGGTGGAGGAAGAGATAGAGAACGGGAGTGGGGTGAGGGGGGCAGATGGAGAGAAGCCAGAAAGGAAACAGGGACCCGTAAGGAGGGACGTGCAGACCCAGAGAGAGACTCGACAGAGAAACAGATATAAGAGGACAGAGGAAGGTCGACTCTCAGACGCCCCTTCCCAGCAACACACACGCAGGCCAGAGACAGTCTGACCCATGGACTAGGGGACAGGATGAGGACAGGACCCCTGGTCACTAACAACACTAACAAACTCAAGGTCTGGTTCAGCCCCCTTCTGCCCCCCCCACCCCCCCAGCGCCTGGGCCCCAGCAGCCCCACAGGCTCACCCATCTCCTCCAGCTCTGAGGTCATAGACTTGGAACGCAGAGAGATGGCTGGGGGCGGGAGCCGCTTAGCCTGCTGGGGTGCTGAGAAGGTGATGGTGGGGTCAAGCATCAGTACCGCAGAGAGAAGGCCCATGAACCACCCCCACCACCACTGCAGTGCTCCCAGATATCAGATAACAGTTGCCCCCAGCATGCTGAGCCCTCCCTGCCTCAGTTTCTCCTCCAGAAGGGTCATGAACAAGCAGCCTTGGGGAAGAGAAGGCCAGTGGTGAGGACCATTAGGCCATTAGGACCTCTGAGGATCTCAGCCTGGTGGCAGTGGGGTGCCCAGGTCTGGCCACACACAAAAAGTGGACAAGCACCTTTCTTATGGACAGCCTCATCCATGTCCGGGTGCCTGGTGACCATCACCACCTTGACCATCAGCGTGTTGCCCCCTTGGCGGATCATGTTCACCACCTGCCGGTGGCCAACCTTCACCACATTCTGCCCGTTCACCTGTGGCACAGATAGCCCCACACCACACAGAGTAGGTGAGGGGAGGGATGCTTTCAGCTTCAGAGTCCCCAGCAGAGTGGTCTCCCGCCTTGCCCTGTGTGTAGCACTCTTGGCCTCTTCCCTCTCACTGACCCTCACCACCACCCCCTCTCCTTGCAAGGCCCCACTTCTCCTTCTGGTAACTTTCCTGGCCCCAGGGTTGGGGAAGGGGCTGGGTTCACCCTATTCACCTCCCCCCCCCACCCGTCCTTGTCCCCCGTCCCTGCACTGTGTGTGTGTGTGTGTGTGTGTGTGTGTGTCCTGGGGAACAGCTCTGTTTTCTTTTAGTGCTTCAGAGAAGCCTTCGGAAGGAATCACTGAAGAAAGCAGAGGCTGGCTAGGGGGTGGGCTGGGGGGCTGGGAGGCCTGGTGCTGAAAGAGAATCTGGACTTGGGCAGCCGTATTTGGTGTGGATCAGGAGGAGCCTGGGGATTTTTGTCACCAGGGTCCCAGGGAGAGAGCAGTATCTGTGGAAGGTGTGCTGGAGGCTGGCACTTGGAAAGGCCCCTGGGGCTGGGGGCCAGGACTCACCTCGATGAGGAAGTCTCCCATACGAAGTCCAGCTCGCCATGCCACGCCACCCTCATCCACAGACTCCAGATACTGCAGTGCCGGGAAGGCCGGGGTGGGGGTGAACTCCTCGATGGGGGTCTGCGCTGCAGATGGGGAGGAGCCGGCGGGGTCGGAGGGGAGGGGGTGGAGAGGCCGAGCAGGGGATGGGGCTCAGACCCAAGTCACAGAGGCCTCACCGTAGCTGAGGGACCAGCACCCTGGGGGTGGGGTGGTGGGTGGGCTGGGGTCCCTTCCCCTGTCCATCCCCCTGGGTCAGAGAGCCCTTCTCCCATCTCCTCCCCAGCCGGCACTCACCCTTGGCCCCCCGGAGCACGAACCCAAACCCCTCACTGTCCTTCTTCTGCAGCAAGACTGTCTTCTCCTTAATGATGTAATCGCTGGCAAGGGGGCGGGGTGGGGGGTGGGGGGTGGAGAAGGGATTATGAGACATAGAGTCCAACCTCCACCAGCAACCCGGTGACCTGAGCCCCTGCTCCAGAACGATTCATCCCACCTCCTGGATCTTCCTCACCCATTCCGTGTGTGTTTGCTCGCAGCCTCCCCCTCAGAGCCCGGAGTGCTGGCTCTCCCACTCAGTCTTTCCTCATTCATCCATCCGTGCATCCATCCACCCATCCATTCAGCAAGCAGTTTCCAAGCCCACTGTGCGCCAGCACAGTGCAAGGGATGGGGAGGTAAGCCGCCAGATCACCAGACAGCCTGCTTTGAGCCCCTGCAAGCCACTTTCTTATCTGTGACCTTGAGCCCAAGGCTTTAACCTTTTGGGCCTCAATTTCCTCATCTATAATGTGAGACAATAACAGGCCCCGCCAGATGGGGTCGCTGTGGGAGTCCAGTACGTACAGTATTCAGCACGGTGCTGGGCACAAAGAAGTATGGGCTCAGTAGGATTCCTTCAAGGTCTTCAGGCAAGTTACTAAGTCGACAGGACACGTGTACTTTGATGATAGCCCTCCCAGCTCCTTGACTATATATAAACTACAGTAACATCTCCCCAGGTACCCAAGCAGATTGTAGCCTCGCTTACTCAGCACTGTGCAATATGGTGGCCACTAAATGCGTGTGACTATTTATATGCAAATTAATTACAAATTAAATTGAGAAATTCAGTTCCTCAGTCTCACTAGTCACATTTCAAAGTGCCCAGTAGTCACCATGTGACTAGTGGTTACCATGGTGGACAGTGCAGTTACAGAACATTTCCATCACTGCAGAAAGCTCTAGTGAGCAGCAGTGACTTATCTATTCCCTGGTATACCTCAGATGTATCTCCTTCATGCAGCGGATAGGTTCTAGTAAAAATGCAAACTACTCACGAATATGCAGATAGTCGCCACCATCAGGCCACCAAAGCCTGTCAGCACATTTGGGTAATGTTCATATACCCAGGAAAGTTCAATTAAACTCAAATCTATTCCATGTATCTCAACACCTGCCTGGGCTCGCTCAGATAACAGCCTCAAACCCTTGACATCACCACAGTGTGCCTCAAGATTATATATCCACTCCATTCCAGGAACCCCAGTATACAACAGGAATACCCATACACCCTGACTCCAACCCCACTCCCCTCGGGGGCCCCAAGAATACCCTCCATCCACTAGAATGCATGCCCTGATGCACCCCGAGCACCCTGTGGTCACGTCTGAGACCTGTCCAGCACACATGCAGACCCCTTAGCAGATCCCAATAATATCCACCAGCCCCAACACACTCCAATAATAGCCAAGCATGCTCCCCGCGTGCTTCAATTACCTACCCCCACAGATTCGGCAAAACAGCCCTCCACGAATACTCCAGAAGATTTCAGTAACGCCCCCCACACATCCCAGTATGCTCCAATAATAACTCCCCCTCACTCGGATCTCAGTGTATTCCCATAACACGCCCCCTGAACACATCCCAGCACACGCCAGTAATACCCACCATGCTCCTACCGTATTTCGGTACCATTCCCCCTACACACAAGCACCCCTGTGTACTCCCATGATCCCCACGACTTCCACTGTCACTGTCACATCCATACGTTTGTACCCCAGCGACAGCGTTCTGCACATGCGCAGTATGCCAGCCCTGCCCCCGTCCCCCCTTATCGTAACTGGGTGTGCTCAACAGCGCGTGTATACACGGGCAGACCTAGCCACTTCTCTCACTCAAGGTTCACCATGGTCCAGTCAACACACCACACCATACCCACCATGTCTTCTTGATCTTACATTCAAGCCAGGGAGAGGCCACCTTTGTAGCAGGGTAGAAGGGGTGTAGGAAGAGAAGAGGGAAGGGGTTTCGAAGGGGTGAGGGAAGGGAGGCAAAGAGAGGAGGAAGGGGCCAAGGACAAGGCCAACAGAAATTGGTTCAGAGGTCAGAGCCGCCTGCTCCTGACCATGCACTCTGCGACACCCACCTTTGTCCCCACCTGGCCACTTCCACTGAGTCCTTATGCCTTTGCTACCCCCAGACCCCCTCCAGACCTCCAGGTCCCCAGCAGACAGCCTGCCCTTGGGACTTCCTTTATCCCTCATTTGCAACCGTTTCTTTTTCTTCTGTTCATGCCACAAACCCCTATGTTTCCCACGTCTTTCCCCTACCCCTGGAATCTCTTTTACCCCCACATTATCCTCACACTCCAGACACAAGCCTTCCCCCAAATACCCCATCCCCCAATATAATTCAATAGAACTCCCATGTCCATTGCATGCCAGGAAGAAGCGTTTGCTATGTGTGGGGCGGTATCTGAAACCCTTCACAGGTGAGTAACTCAGTTGTCTGTCCTAGCCAGCCTCTGAGGTAGGCATAAGTACTATTTCCACTTTATAGGTGAGGAAACAGAAGCATAGAAAGGTTAAGCAACTTGCCTAAGGTCACACAGTGAGTAATCTTCAGAAACACAGAAGAAATACTTGGGTGGCTGCAGTTATAATACCGTCCACTTCACTGCACCCAAATACTTCAAGCGCATATACATCTGCCCCAAATTGGTCATAAGCATCCACGCCTTCGGAGCCTGAAATTTATCCCAGGTTATGCCATCAGCACAATAATGAGTGACATTTACTGACCCATTGCTGACTGCCAGATGCCACTCCACGTACTTAATGTTTATCTATTCACATAGTCTCACGACACCCCTGGGAGGGGTAACTGAGGCACGGAGAAGTAACATGCTCAAGATCACACCAGCTAGAAAAGTGTCAAAGCCAAGGATTGAATTCCTCACAGGCAACCCATACACCCCAATAACGTCCAAACACCCCCAGATCATCACAACTCCACCTGTGTCCCTCCCTCCCAAGCATCCCCATCCCATACAGGCTCCTTTCTCTCCACACTCCCATGACTTTCTTGCCCAATCCCTGGCCATGGGATGCTTCCCTCATCCCACCACGTTATCCTCCAACTTCCCACCTGCCCTGTTGCCCCAACAGTTTTCCTAAACTCTGTGCTCCCCATCCTCTGCTCCTGTGTGTGCCCCTTCACCTCTCAGCACCTTGCTCCCTACTCCTCCATGCCATCGGAAAGCTCCGTGTTGGCCCAACCCACCCTCATTAGCTTTCAGTTCCCCTAGCCCTCATCACACCCCCATGGGGCCATCCCTCTACCTCCTACTCGGCCCCTGCACACCTCCCATCCCCTTCCCCAAAGTGTCCTCCACAGACCCTCACCCCTCTTATGCCCCCTCTCCCTTAGCCTCACCCCTCCCACATCCTCTCACACCTCTGCATGCAATCCCACTGTGTCCCCTACAGCACCCTAGGTTCCTTTCATACTCCCCAGTCCCCCGCATTCTCATCCGTGGAAGCCTCTTTCTACTTCTGCATCAACTCACTTCCTCACACACCCTTCCGCCTCCTGGTACTTGCAGCTGCATTTCATTTATATTCCCTGCATCCTCTCTGTGCTCTCCCTGTGCTGCCTGAATCCCCACCCCCAAATCCTCCTCACAGTTCCTGCATTCCCTCCTCACCCCATTTCTCCAAACACCCCACGCACCCTGTATGCTCCAGCACCCCCGTTTCCCCCACTTCAGTGTCCTCCGCTCTCCCCTGTTCCAATCTCATCGGCCACCCTCCTACTGAGACCCTCTAACCCCACCCCTGGCCCAGCATTCTCTACCCACGCGACACCCCATTCAGGCTGGTATTGCTGACTACCTGCCCTGCAGGAGCACACACAATGCTCTCCCCCAGGCCATCCCTCGGCGACCCCAGAGTGGCCTCTGGAGCTCAGCGGCCAGCTCTTGTTCGCCGGATCCCACACGCGGAGACTGCAGCAGCATCCACTCCCCCCACCCCCATCCCAAAGGTGCCTCTCACACACCCAGGATCCCACAGCCCAGAGCTTGCTGCTGTACAAGGCACCCCCTCTGGTACTCAGCCCCTCCTCATGTACCCATCTCCATGGGTCTCTCCATGGCCTGCACAGAGGCCCCCTCGCAGGGAAGCCAGCCCCCTCCCATGCTAAGAAGTGGCACACACAGGCAGATGCAGCTCCCCGTGAAAAAGCTTAGCCGAGGCTCAGCACACATGCCCCACACCGGCACAGACCCCCTGGAGGCAGGGAGAGGGGCACATGGGGACAGAGACACACGGAGGGACTAGAAAAGGGGGGGCTGTCGGGGGGAGGGGACAGGCCTGGCATGTGAGGATAGGTAATGGGAAATACAGCCGCAGTCCCTGGGACAGACCCACTCCATCACTCACACACACACACACAATCCTCAGACAGCCTCTCTGTCGCTCCAAGTCACACACAGAGATAGACACCATCAAACAGGGACACACAGATGGACACAGCTGGGGGAGGGGGACTGGGAGCCCACCATCTCTCCATCTCTCTCTCTCTCTGTCACACACACACACACACACACAGCCGTGTGCGCATGGCCGCAGGCAGTCACACACGCACGCACATCGACACATCCACACTGACACATGCACGGTCGCACAGTGACACGCAGCGGAAAAAGAGGAGGGGAGGGGAGGCCGGGGGTGGGATGTGTGTGTGATGGGGGGATGACTGTGAATGGGAGAGAGGGGTATGAATGAGGGGACTTGCCAACTCTGTAAAGGGGTGTGGGGAGGTGGGGATCAGAGGAACAGGGACCTGGAATGTAGGTGCCTGAGGGGGAGTCACTGTGGCTCCCCACGGGGAGGGCTCAACAGAGTGGGGGCGGTGAGGGGGGCAGAAAGGGGTAGTGGGTTCCAAACCCCGGAGTGGGGTCCGTTTGGAGGGTTCGACTGGGGGCAAGGCTTCGGAGGAAGAGAAGAGGGGGGTCTGAAAGGGCCTGGAAGGGGGCTGAGGAGTGTATGTGTGTGGGGGGGGCTCGGGGAGAGAGGCCCAGGGACGGGGATGAGAGAAAGGTTGAGAAGAGGGGTCCAAAAGGGTTTATCACTGAGGGAAGGTGAGGGGAGAGGGGGTGGGGGGGCGGCTTGAGGGGGGAGGAGTCCCAAGACTGGGGGATTAGCGGCGAGGAGAGGGTCGTCACAGCGGGCCAGGGCCTCCCAGCCTGCCGCGGAGAAAAGGGGCGGCGCGCTCCGTTACCTGTAGATGTACCAGACGCTGCGCCGCCGGGGCCCCAGGGCCGGCCAGCTGGAGGAGAGCGCGGGGGGCGGCTGCGGCAGGGAGCCCCCACCGGGGCCG